TTGGTGAGTTTCCCTTGAGTCTCCTTCTTGCCGTTGAGGAAGATTGTCCACGTGTATCTTGAGTAATCATCAACTACCACAAGGACATATTTCTTTCCACTTAGACTTATTGGTGTAACAGGGCCAAATAAGTCCATGTGAATAAGACTTAATATCCTTGTAGTTGAGGGTGCCGATTTTGCCTTGAAGGTGGACTTGACTTGCTTTCCTTTCTGGCAAGCATCACAGATGCTTTCCTTTCTGAAAGCAGTTTTGGGAAGACCTTCTACTAACCCTTCTTTGGACAGCTTGTTGATAGTTTTGAAGTTGAGATGACTCAACCTCTTATGCCAAAGCCATAGAAGGTTAGTGTCACCTTTGCTGATTAGACATGCTTCCTTGACATCGTCCCACATCACTTCATAGATGTTTCTGATTCTTTTCCCAGTGAGAATGACTTCATTTGTGGAGATGTTCTTGAGAGATGCCATGTCCTTGCAGAATTCCAAGGAATAACCTTTATCACAAAACTGACTTATGCTAAGAAGGTTATACTTGGATGGTTAGTCCCTTGTACACCAGATTTCCTAGCCCTTTGGTAAGGCCAAAATCATTGCTTCCTCCAAAAGTAACTCTTGGACCATCATAGGGAATTAGATTGCTCAAAAGGCTCGCATCACCCGTCATGTGTCTTGAGCAGCCACTGTCTAAGTACCAGACACCTGGGTACTTAGCGGCTTCCTGCATTAGGAGGAGGAAGATTTTGGTACCCAATTAAGTTTGGGTCCAGAGTAGTTAATGGTATGTGTCCCTACATCAAGTTTGAAGTCGCAGGGAATTTTCCTTGCAGCTCTAAACTTGTTGGGATTGTAATCATAGTTGTAGGCATAAAACTTCCTACGTGCAGGAGGTGCAATTTCCTGTTTCCTCCTAGCAAACCTAGGTTGATAAGACCTATGATTTTGTCTAGGTTGTGCATAGTGTGGCCTGTGTCGGTTATAAGCATACTTAGGTGGCACAAATAATTTCTGGGGTGGAGGATGACTATATCTTGGCATAGTTCTCCACTCAGAATTTCTTGGAAAACTCCTATCTACCCCATAATGAGTATAGCCTCGTGTATAATGGGGGTTAGAAGGTTTTCTTCTGAAATTATTTCCTCTTTGAGGTCTGTCCAGCTTCCTATGGTTCTTAGGAGGGACTACCTTTTTGGGAACTTCTGTTGGTTTCTCCTTTTCCTTTCCTTTCTGCTTATTTGGTTTGGCAGTAGGTTTAGGAGGGATGAAAGTTGTTCTCCCTTTCCTTTTGGAACTGGAGGGGTCAAACCCAAGTCCTTCACGACCCTTATGGTTGGTCGTTTCAAGAAGCTTATCCACTGCTTCTTTGGACTTAAGTATCCCTAGTTCTTTGTTAAGGGATTTTACCTTTTCAGAGAGAGATTCATTTTCAGTCTTGAGTTGAGTAATCTCATCCAGTTGACTTTTCCGACCTTTAGTCAACTTGAGATTCTCTTCACTCAATAGTTTGTTCTCCTCTGTTAAGGAAGAATGTTTGAGATTTATTTCCTCAAAATATACCATCATCTTTTTGAACTGGTCAAAAAGATTTTCAGAAGTTGGTATGCTTTCATAAGAAGATGAGCAGGAGGTTTGTGAAGTTACCTCTTGATCAGCATCATCTTTAGCCATTAGGCAGAGAGTGTCATCTTCTGACATAGTCCACCTATCCTCATGGTTGGACTTTTCAGCTCTGCGCTCCATGCAGACGAGGGCTTCTTCATCCGAGCTTGAGCTGGATGACTCATCACTTTCAGCAGCTACCATTGCCTTCTTTTTCTTCTCGTTCCTTTCTCTTTCTCCGTACTTTTCCACCTTTGGGTACGGGCATGCTGACTTCCAATGGCCAGGCTTTCTGCAATTATAACACAAATAAGGTTCAGGAGGGGAGTCACTTACTTGTGGCTTTCCCTTGGTTGGCCTTCTGACTGAGTCAGCCTTCTTGAAGAACTTTATGAACTTCCGGAATTGCTTGACCATCATGACAAATTCCTCATCGTAGTTCTCCATTTTTGAGCTTGACGGCTGGCTGGAGGAAGGTGTGTTACAGCTTCTTGGACATGTCCCTTCACTTGATGGGACTCTTGGAGTTGTCATCAGTGCCGTGGGGAAGGGAGTGACTTGTTCTTCCTTCTTCTTCTTCAGCTCGTGCTCATAGGTTCTGAGCTCATCAAGAAGACCCTGGACAGTGTAGTTTTCCAGGTTTCTTCCTTCTTCCATGGCTGTGGCTTTGGTGTACCACTCAGTTGGAAGAGATCTCAGCAACCTTACATTCTTTTCTTTGGGAGAAAGAACGTGGTTAAGTGAGGCAAGATCATT